GGGGAGGGAGTGTGATGCTAAGCTAATGCTAGCGTAATAATCCTACTGAGTGAAACAGGGGCAGTACTCGGGCAGGCCCAGTTTCAGGCCGCTAATCCCCCCCCTCACCCACAGGGCTGGCTTAATTCCTCCACAGCGCTGCTCAGTTCTGCCGTCCTGTGACGTGCACACGGCCCGGAGCTTAAGAGACACATGCTCACAGGTCAGACCCATGAATACTCACAATCTGTCGCTTTATTTAGCCTTCATTGCCTCTGTGGCAGTAACGTCCAATACCGAGGTTTGGATTTTTATACAGCTGAATAATTAGGGTCCATGTCCATATGTTGAATGTGTTCGTGTGGAGCATATTCTGTCCCATGCTAACACGAGGGGGATTTTGGTATCCATCCTTGTGTTAGCATGGTTACTGAGAGGCTAAATTGACCAGTACCCAGTGTCACCAAAAGTTGGAATAAACGTTTAAAGGGAAATTCATTATTGTAATTCATTCGGTTGTTTATAACAACTTGGGCCCTTGTTTTGACAATTTTTGTCAAATCGGTCAAATCCGAGCCACAACTTTACTGCTTCATTTTGATCGGGTCACGGATGCTCCGATCAATCGGCCACCAATCGTTATCGGCTCATATTGTCTCTAGAATATTTTGATTGGATCAGAGGTACAGATCTGATAACTCATCGATTCTCAATTGAAGCGTTTTCAATATTAATTTGCCTGCTTTTTGTATTTAGCCGTTTCTCACACTTACCAGGCCCGACAGCGTGGAAATCTCCAGGGTGCGTCCTGTCTGAACAGCTCAGTTGGTTAACGCCTTTGAATTTCAATTAAAATATTGCCCCTTAATTGACCTATATACCGACATGTGTAGCTGGTTAAACATGTTCTCGTTGGTTAACCATTTAACCATTGCCACCCGTAGCTGGTACGCACATATATTTATATTTAGAAGAATATTTAGTTTTTAGTGTTCGTATGCCACAGAATCGAGTGATGTGGCCCTGCGTCTCCACCGAGTGGTTTGTTGTGCCTTACTGCTCTTAATCTCCATTCACTGGCCTTAAGAGCTGAAAAGCCCAGTGAGAGGTCAGAGGTCAGTAGCTCAGCTCTGCCCTGCAGCTTTACTCTGTGCTGTCCACATAATTAACCATCACAGTAACCCCGCTGCTCATTAGAGGGCTGCAGCCATCCGAGCTGTTTATTATACTGTACTTGCATAAGACTGCCTTAAAGCCTTTGGTTATGTGAGAGAGACGAGGCAGAAACGTTAAAATGAGTTTCTGTGTTTACCTTTATTGATACTAAAGGTTGTTCAGTGTGTGCACTCTGCTCTAATACTGCTGAATCATGAACTCGTCAATGACTGGGATGGGGGATTTGGCCTGCTAACCTTTTTGTAAGACGGTTCTGGTCACGATAGAAAATCATTTTTTGATCCAATGGATCTTCAGCTATTGCAAACATGGCGAATACATAGAAAACTGAGACAGAAGCATGAATTAAGATGTTTTTTTTTTTTCTTCCTCAGGCACTGGCTGGCCACCTACTTTATCATCTGGTACGGTGGGCCCTACATGACGTACGACATCTTCGCCATGTACCTCAGTCACTACCACCGCTTCCGCGTCAAAGGCCACGAGGACTACAAGCGGCATTCACTGAAGACCGTGAACTCCTTCGTCCACAGAGAGTTCCTGCTGGTGTTGCATCACATCGCCCTGCTCACTATCCTGCTGCCTGTCACACTGGTGAGGAGGGGAGGAAGGGAGGGAGGGGTGGTGAGGAAACATGAGGGTGAGATTGAGGCAGCATTGATGAGGCCTTGTTGTCAGTAGTCAATACAAGATAAATTGCAGATATCTCTCTTTTCTAGATGAATTACTCAAATTCTCCGACTTCTGTCTTGATAACTGAATTTGTCTCCTACTGGTGCTCATGACATTCTACATTGCATCAAAGAGAGTTGTGAGAAGTCATGTGTTCTCTCAGTACTGTCCACTGCCGGTAATGCGTCATTAGTTTGTGCTGTAATGCAGTGCGTTGTTTTTAAATCAATCCTGGCTTTGAGCTGCATTATCTCCTAATGATTGCTTAAGTGGCAACAATAAAACAGACTTGATGCTCACTGTTATGCATCACCAATCAAGTCATTTTCAAGTACATGAGTGTGCAAACATGCTAATCCAACTGGTTCAGAAAACATCTATTATCTCACTGTGCATTACTGCACATGTGCAGATCATCTCAACAACATTTAGTACACTCGCTGCTTGTAGCTTTTATATTCTTGACCTTTAAATAGAAATTTAGACAATCAATTGACACTAAAACGGTTGAAATTAAATGACTAGTGGTTGACGGGAAAGGCCTCTGTGTACGTATGAACCAAAGTACTTCTACTGTTTGTACTTGTTGGATTGGCAAACCGCTTCTATAACTTTCTAAAACCAGTTTTACATATTTACCTAAACCAACAATGAATAACTCGCGGCATGCAGCAGTTTGCCAGGTATTCAGAGGCGTGAAAGTAGGCGGGGTTTGAACTTCTCCCTCTTTTTTTTTTTTTTTATTCGGTGCACCTTATTTTTCATATCCGCATCAACACTGTGAATGCTTTTAAGGAAAGATTGTCTGAAAGCACCCACCGTTATCCCCGTTTGAACAGTTAATCGTGGATTACACTAATGAGCCAGTATCCATTTCATGACGGAATCTAAAGTGTTGGTCTAATTCTAACCATGGAGTTGCCTGGTTTATGCAGTAGAGTGGAGTACTTAACTGATTTACTGTGTGGACCATTTACAGTACAACTCAGTTCAAAGGAATATCTGCTGTTCAGGCTTCGTGGTAGTAAATGGCAGGAAAGGGAAAAGAACTGTAATGCACCAGTAATTACTTTCCTAAAACAATTGGCAACAAATAACTATTGTTTCCTTTTACATCCTTGCATTGTAAGTGTTGCAAAGAGACAGAGGCATTAAGAATAGACAGGAAGTGAGAATGAAAGGTGCAGGTTGTTGTTTTTTTTGCTGTGATACAAGTGTTGGTGGATTGTCGGAGGAAAGAAAAGGGCGCCAGGCAAAGATCTCAATGTCCGATAAATGATTTGAATGGATGAACATGCAGTCGGTTGTTAAGCGAGGGCGAAGGAGGAAGCATGTAACGGAGAAGGAGAGGCACTGTGGACCGGGATTACTTGCAGGGCAGGTTTGAAACGGCAAATTGGAAACCCGCGTGCACAGTTTGAGCAGCAAAGCATGCAAAGGGAGTTCATAATAAAGCTCCATCTTCTGATGATTTCAGCGTTGGCCGGAAGAGAAGCCAATTAATACCGCACCACACACTTGAATACGTTCATACAGGAACTTTCAACTGTCGACAGAGTGTTTATTTATATGCCAAAGAGTTTACAGAAAAGTGTAACACAGCAGCAGCCCCCCCCCCCCCTCCAAGTAGTACCCAGGTTAGCAAGCCAGGTGCAGTGGAAACCCGGCCCTCTTGTTTGCAGTGGCAATATGAGATCAAATTACCCTCCATTATTCATCCTCTCTTTTCTCTAAACTCACCCCCCCCTCCCTCTGATCCTCCTCCTGTCCCCTCGCCCGTCAGCTTTATGGTAGAGTCATGCAGCAAGCCCGATCCAGGACACTTCAGTGCGTTATATTTGGAGAACTTGTGCGGTTCATTTCAGAAATACTGTCGCTCTGATGTTAGAAGTTATCGTAAAAGTGTGAATTAGCAATTGGCCTTTTTTTTTTTTTTTTTTTTTTTTTTACAGCAGACATTTGGACACTGCTTTAGTTATTAACATTAAATGATGGCTGCGTTCCATTTAGGTGTGCCAGTTTAAGGGTCCAGGTATTGTGCATGCTCACCTGTAGCCTGGCCTACTGGGATACCTAAATGGAACACGGCCATTATTAACGTTTACCGTCGGGCATCAGATCAGGGCACCTTGTGAAGGTTTTCTTTGAGCGTGTCTACTCACTCATAGGAGGAGACCTGGAGGCAGACGTACCAACCTGTACACTCACACGGGGGTTTAATGATGGTTACATCAACATCTATCTTTTTACAGGTGGACGGTGTGCAGCGATGCATGAGATGGATTTTATGTTCCTGTCAACCTTTTAGCTCGTGGCTAACCGTGATTCTCATGTTTGTAAATGCATCCTAATTCGCACACAGGCAAATGTATGGAGTAGACCGTTTAAATACATTCTTGGGACAGACGGTAAGCATTAGACGCCAGCGACCACAAATACATCTTTTGTTCTCGGTGGCTGTATGCGAACTAGTTGAGGGGACCGGTACATAAGTAGAGTGAGTTTAGAAGTGGTTTACTTCAGTAAATGGTAAGAGTACTGTATTCAAAACTCTACGTGAATAAAGTAAAATAAAGTATTATCAAATTCAATTTATAGCCCAAAATCACAAATTTGCCTCCGACATCCTCTGTCAACAAGGACAACAAAATGTGCTTAAAGTATCAAAAGTGTTATTGTTGACTCAGGTCAGGTTTTAGCCCATTCAGACATGTCTAGCATTACAATTATAGGATTAAGACTGAAACTGTCCTTTCAGAAGCCTTATGTAGCCTGTGATTGTTCTTGTTTAGGGTAAAGTTTAAAATGATGCCTTTCACAGCATCTCCGACATCCATAGACAAAAGGTAACACGCCAGTTAGCCAGTTAGTTTGTTCGTGGTGGTGTAAAGTTTCGCTCTGTGGTCGCAGTCATTCTTTGGTGGGCAGATGGCAAGGCCACGTCTAAGAGCCACTCGTGCTTTATTCATCATCACCACACAGCGAGCTAGGCTCTTTATCCATCTAGACCGACTCACCTATTTTAGGATGGCCTCTCTAACTATTCAGCACCGTGCTGCTGGTCAATATTTGAAAGCTTTAGTCATTACCTATGCACAGGACAGCACCGCCTCCTTTTTGCCACGTTGAAGTTGTGGTAGAATCCGACATCTGCCTTTGCGGTTGTGGCATTGTACAAAAAGAAACGTGGAGATTGTTATACAAATATCCGGTAAAGGATTTTACTCTGGGTGTGTGAATCCACCTAAATCTAATTAAGGATTGAAACATGCTCGGTACGTCTGTATGTCGAGTAGAGTACAGGACACACTTGTACTATCATTCTTCCTAGAGAGACTACCAAACCTTGGTTGACTTTTGAAAGTACTATTTGGAAAATAAAGAAAAATATTCACGTTTTCTTGACGAGTTTCTAGCATGGAGCTCAACAGGCACTCCAAAGTCTGCATTTCTGCACCACAAACATTAAAGTTCTCCTCGCAATTTTAAGAGATGTGATCTTGTTTGAAGGACACAAGTGGAGTTCTCCATTGTGAACCGGCCTCGTGTTTGTTGTCAGGCGATCCTCCTCACCTCGTAACGTTGGGAAATGTCACACAGCCACGTGAAGTTTACAAGGTATTTGTGTTTTCGTGGTTACCAGTGACAAATGCACCATGAAGGATGTCGTCCCAGCATACACCAGCAACACTTTGGCTCTTGTTATCGGCCTGAATATGTTGCAAGTAACTAGGATTTATAAAATGACATTTATAGACATTTACCATTAAAGGGTAGCTTTCGTATTTTTCTACCTGGACCCTTTTTTCCACTTGTTTTTATGTCTAACGGACTAATGGGGTAAACATGTTTTTTTTTTTAAATGGTTTGCTGAGTAAAACACAAACTCTCTGTCCAGCGCTGGGTACCACAGCAGGCTGTTGGTCAGTTTGTTGTGTTGGAGTACATAAAGGACATTATTTTCTATTTTCACTGTGGATTAGACTTCTCCTTGAGCGAGACTTAGTCAGACACAACAACAAAAATGCCAGCTCAAGCGAAAGGTAAATAATTATTTTTGTTATTTTTCTCTGGGATGCCTTCCATGATGTTGTCAGACACTGATGCAAACAACCTGAGCCCAAAACAAGCACTTTACGTGGATGCACAAAAGGAATGGACTGATTACATTGCTGCCGGCTGTAGCGCCATTGCTCAACACTGGACCAGTTTCAAAAAATTGTTGTGCTCATTAGTCACTTAGACACAAAAACATGGGAAAATAGGGTTGAAAAATACAGTAGTTGCCTTTTAAACCTGGAACATTATTTTGCACCGCACCGCTCCACTCCGTTGTCATTTTCCATTAAAGATACCCAAACAAATGACCAGAGAGGCAAGCAGAGCCCTTTTGTTTTTAGCTTTGTTCCAGTGATGTCTGTCAAGGTGCTGCTGTCTGCTGATAATTGAAGCGAGGCTCGTCCAACCTGTCCTGCTATAACAGACCCACTAACATCCTCTCTCAGCAGATATTACACCAACATTATTTAGAATATTATATTTATAACTATCAGTCCAAATCTTTCACAATCAACCTTGAGAAACACGTGTGTTTAAAGCCTGGTAATGTCTTTTGAAGCCTCTCTCAGCACATTTCCACTGGGACTGTTCCAGAAAGTGTGTGTGTGTGTGTGTGTGTGTGTGTGTGTGTGTGTGTGTGTGTGTGTTTTGTTTGTCTGTTCCTCAGTTCTGCAGAAGCGATCAGGGGGATTTCTTCGTCGGCTGCTTGTTTCTAACGGAGCTCAGCACACCCTTCGTCTCCCTGGGGAAGATATTTATTCAGGTGAGACGGCGCGTACACGTGTGCACTCAACAGACTGGGAAGTCCTACACCTGACAGCCAAATTGGGCAATCATTTGCTGAATAAGCAGCGATTGTACAACCATAGCTTAGTAAATACAACCACACATCAGGCCTCAAGCGTTGGATTTTTCTACAATAAGAATGAGCCTTTCCAAAACAGTAACAGTAGATGTAAATGTAGAAGAAATAGAATTAAAAGTTGTCAACCAGCTGTCAGCGATACTGTTGTCCGTCACCTCCGATTTAGTTATGGCCACAATGCAAATTATAGAGATGCAACTGTGGCATTTGAAACCGTCGATCACAAAGATATGAACTAAGCGGAATCTAAAATCAATGTCTCTGCCCGAGCAAAAGAAAGTCGTTCATGCTCGTTTCTTCTTTAGTTCCCGCTCAGGTGATGTGCAGTGTCTTGCATCATCAAAAAACCTGAGTGTCTCCATTTCAGTTGGGATGTAGCTTGTCACTGTACCATCAATAATTAAGGTGCACGGCTCACCAAAAAAAAGAAAGAGAACCACTTCAGTCAGTGGCAGTGAGCTAAGGAGCCACGACACTGTTTACTCTCCCTGCCTCTCAACCCATCAACGGCAGTTAAAGCCGCCACTGGTTCCACCCTTACAGTGAGCATTACATCCTGCTCGCTGACGAGCACATGTTTACCGTGCACAGTCAGCGGCCGCGTGTTTTGGTGAAGCCGTAATCTAAGAATAGAGGAGCCCGACTGTGTTTCCCAGTGATGAGGTCTTTGCTGACATCTGGTGTCAGCAGAGTAAAAGAGCAAAGCAAAGCTCCACTGCTCCTCTCTGTCTTTATAACCGCGGCCCTCTTTCCCTGCTCTCAACACCAGTGTTCCGATTGATCTCTGTTGTGTAGACCAGAGGCTCCCGCAGATAAGGAGGTTAAAATGCAATCTAGTTAATATGAGCTAACGAAAAACAATAACAATTTAGTGATATCATCAGGCTGTACATCCTGTCAGCGTTAGCTAGGGCTTGGTGTTGTTTAAAAAGGGAACATATGGTACCGGTTTTGGTACTGACTCAATAACGGTACTATTAAAGTGATACCGATACTAGATGGAGTACTTAATTTCATTCCTTTTCTTTCCAACTCAATTAGATATCCATCATGTGAATGAAAGCAAAATGCCACCACCTCAGCATTTTATTTTTACTAGACACCACAAGGCATAGCCATACCACCGGCACGCTGAACCGCCAACTCGACTCAAGGACATCGCGCTCGGCTTGACTGTAAGAGTCGTCGGTGCTGTGGCAGTGGGCCAATCAGATGTCACGTTGAATCTAAGAACGCTTGCGGTGATTGGCTGGCGAGTAAAACCAGAGTATTCATCCTCTGGGGACCAGGACCATCTTTCCTCAGCTTTTGAACTCTTTGGAAACCATTGGTGTAGATATTTTGGCTTCCTCGCCCTCTGTTCTTAGATCACGAGAAGGAGGGCGATCGCAAAATTAATAAATTAAGAGAACATCCATTATTGATGAAGGATCCAAACGCACACCTCCGGCCCGTAAAGCTGTTCTACTAGCTATGACCCACGAGCTAGCAGAAAGGTTTTATGTGATGGGAAGGTTAGCTAGTCTCCCCAAATCACAGCTGATTGGATAAAGTAATTCATAAGCCCCTGAGTTCAGGATAAGTCATCAAAAATGTTTTACAACATATATTTGACAGAAACCAAGAGACACCTGAACAATTAACACAGGGAAACATAGCTTAGCATAGCATAACTTCAAATCCCACGTTAACGTGTTCTCATCCCCCACAACCTCGTTCCGTCCCTCCCCTCTTTTGTTTTTTGTCTCCCCCACCAGCTCAACCTCCAGGAATGCTGGCTGCACAAGGCCAATGGCGGTATGGTACTTCTCACCTTCCTTCTGTTCCGCATCGCCCTCTTCCCCTACATGTACTGGGTGTACGGCCGCCACTACGGCATCCCGCTCTACAGCGTGCCCGTCCACCTGCCGCTGTCCACCAACCTGGGCAACCTGTGCATCCTGGCGCCGCAGGTCTACTGGTTCGTCCTTCTTTGCCGAAAGGGCTACCGTCTCTACCGGCGCAGCCGCATGCCAGACTCGCCTCCCGCGGCCACCGTCACTGACAATTCTAAGGATGATTGATATCCGGTTCACGTTTTTGCCCGCTCAAGCCGCACACTCAGCTACTAACGCAACTACTTCTGCAAAAGGCATTAGTTTGACTTAACACATTTCAAACCCCACCATTGTACTGTAGTACACCAGGACTGCCTGCTCTTGTCCAACAACTCCTGGGCATTTTTTTTTTTCGCACACTTTAAAAATCCTCCGTTACAAAAATCTGCAGCCTAAAGTGGACCTCTCCACCGATACAGCTCTACTACTGAAGTTTGATGATTTGCTTTTTATTTTTTGGGGGGGGCAGGGGGGGGATTTTGGCTCTTGCCTGGATCTTGTTGAAGTGCTACACACTGCGTCTGTCAACATTTACAACATTGAAGAAAGGGTCGTTTTTGCTTCACTGAGAGAGAATCCGTGGAGTAAAAAAGAAAGCGAAGAAGAAGCTTCCATGAGAGAGAGAGAGAGAGACATTATCCTTTCCCTTACTCCTACTGTGTTTACAGCCTCTGCTGACTTTGAAGGTCTGTTACAGTGTTTGTGTGAGTGGCTGCTACGACAGGTTGTATTTATTGGAATGATTCTTTTTTTGCTGGACAGTTGCGTTTCCTTTGCCCATCCATCCACTGATCACACCGACGGGAAAGGTTAGGAATGGCTGCGGGTAGGGGATGCATATTCAGGCAGTATTGGCAGGCAAATACATGTCACCTCATTCACTTTTGAGAGCTAGAAACAGCTAACACCCCCCGTTAATGTGACTTTTCACTTATCATTTTTCTTTGTAGCGTCCCATAGAGCATGTTACAGTGGCATCGATCCCATTTCCCCCACATTTACGTCCGTGGCTCACTTATTTTCCAGAAGCCACCCCCCCCCCTCCCCAACACAGCAGGGTGCTAGCTCTGTATGCATGGTGTGTACCCCCCTGGGTTTAATGCTGCACTCGTGTTCTTGGGAATACTTCCACTTCCATTTTAGGAAAGCTTTTCAGGAATTCGGTTCGGCAATAATCTCCGACGTCGGAGTTGGAGAATGGTGGCACCAACAAAGGGATTACCTCAGTTGTGGAAACCATTCTTCATTTTTCACAAAGTTTCATTTTTCATGATATGCATGGCATTAAACAAGTCCGTGCTGGATTTCTTCTTTTTTAGGATGATACGACAAAGTTCAGTCAAGACCTCAAGTGAATCTCCTTTGGAAGAAAACATAAAACATACTGACCAGGCTGCTCTCGATGTCTAAAAAAAAACAAACAATGTAACGCGATGATGGGATGAGATTAAAAAAAAATATCAATTGCAAGGATTTTAATTTCTGCCAGGTTTATATCATTTGCATGTGTGAGGGTTAGCTGGGTTGGTGAGAGATTCATCTTTTGAATCCACGATCTCTATCTGACACTGAAACGCTGGCAGCCAGAGCCGATGTAGGGCAGCATGACTCATGGTCAGATGTTGAGGATGTTGGGATATTTTTTTTTTGGGAGTGGGGGGTGGGTGGGGGGCGTGGTGATGCCTAATGTGGGATGAACTCAGGGCCAAGGACGGAGCAATAAGGTGAGCAGAGGCTCGCCGGGGCAAACTTAAACAGAGGATTGAAGTCTATGAGCGATCAGCCACAAAAAGAAAGGAAAGACGGATATCAGGAAGTGATTGTTCCTGTTTATCCTTAACATGTCAACTGTTTAGTTCCCCAGAGGCTCTACAGATCTATATGCACTTGTGTACTTCGCACAGGGCTGTATATACTGAATGTTTTTAGAGATCTACATCAAGTTTTAGTTTCATCACGAAATCAAAAACTAGTTTTAAAACTTAACATATATCTATAACATCGTGATTAGACCTGATAGGACCTTTTTCTTTTCTTTTTTTTTTAATCATGCAAAGCAATCTTTGTCGTTGCTGTATTCACAGTTGCATAAAGACATTAAATCTTAAAGGCATTTATTAGAGAACATCACATGCTTGGGGATATTCTTTCTTCATATCAAAGATTAAATAGAAGGTATTCTTTTCTTGAGGTTAATTTAACTCTAAATATTCTTGGGTCATTCAAGCTTCATAGTGGACTAACTGATTTAAGAGTGGGTTTATGGCCTTTTTTATGTCCTGCAAATTCAATCTATGCAAGAAGAGGCTGCGGTGCATGTAGACAACACTAATGTCAAGTCCTTTAGGATTGACCCACGCCTCAGTTTGTTGTTTATTTGGGGACCATCCATTTTATTTCTGCTGTACATTTCTACTGGGACTACACACTACAGGTCATGGTCTCCTGTTGCATTTTTTGCTTGTCTTTTTAAATTGACCTTTAGTGGTGTTGTGATTCATTTAAATTCATGTAATGCTGAAAAGAAAAACAAGTGTATATTGATCATAAGTAAGGGTTTTTGTAGCATACACCGACACGTTTACAACTGCAGCTCAGTTGACAGACATGTTGAGTTCTCTCGTTTGGACACTGACCTGATGGGGCTCCTCTCTTTATCTGAAAAAAAAAAAAAAAGTTTGCATGCAACTAATAAGAAAATCGTTGGAAAATAGAACTGACACGGCTAACGAGCTCTACAGGTTTTGATGATAAAATGACTGCAAGGCAGGCAGCTGCATTTTTAAGAGGCAGCAAACGGCTTTACCTTTTATCCACATCTGTTTTGTTTTTTTTGGTTTTTTTTAATGTTTCCACACGTCTCTTCCTCAGATGCTCTTGTGTCATGATCGCCAGTTTGGTTAAAAGTTAAAGCGAGCCGATTGCTACTGTGAGTCCAGTGTGGGATCATCGTGAATGCTGACATGTAGTGACACTGGTACACGTAGAGACAGGACGCACAACTGACTCAGTCATGTCAGTTTACACGACTATGTCTATGGAACAGTTTGTGACATTACCTAACAGCAACCACCATACAGCCACTGGTCCCACCAGACGGCCGAGCCCGTTAGAGGCAAATCCCCTTGATGAGTTGAGTGAGGGTGAGGTTTAACTTTTCTATTGTTTCCTTCTTTCATAAGTTACATAGTCTCGCTTCAAAGAAGATCATCGTGTGGAGGATCTTGTTGCTCTGCGCTGTGGTTTGAAAAACATTGGGTATCCCATGTCCGGTGGGAAGCAGCAGCAGCACCGGCGTTGTTTGGGAGAAAAGGCGATGAGTCGTCTTGTCTGTATAGACTGACAGCCTGTTTGCTGGCAGGCAGCATGATTGGGGGGGGGGGGGGCGTAAGGGGAGCCGAGCTGCTGAATGATGGGCTTGTTCGTCCCGTTTGGCTGCGGCCCAGCGGAGTGCGGGCCTCTCTCTCTCTTTGTCCGTTGCTGACCAGGCCACTTCTCACTGGAAGCAGCCCAGGTTCTTTGTGCCGCTTTCAGCCGGTTCACCCTTGGCCTCTCACACCCACCAGATACGTGGTGGTGCAAGTTAAATGGCCGTTACGTCCTAAAGAAGTTTGATTTACATTCATAAGATGTTACACTTCCGTTTGGAATTCATCAAACATCTTTTGATGAGTCTCCAAAGGTTGTCACTTCAGTCGACCATTTTTAATCTTTGAATTTGAGACTAAAAGCTGCGTGTCATTTCTTATCCTTATTGTTTCCTCCCTTCCATCCTCCCATCATGCACTGCTCCGTTTCCTTTTTTTAACTCGTCTCTGGGCTGACGTGCTCTGCAGTGACAGAAAGTTGCAGAGCGAGCCCCCCCACCACCACCTCCTCCTCCACCTCCTCTCTGCTGCCATCTGTCGTCGGGATTACCTGCTCGTCCACTCAGCAGTTTACAGGCAGGACCCGTTGGGATTAGTCGGACTGTGCGGGCATTAAACTGTGCATGTCTCCTGTGTAGTCGGCTACATACATCTGCATCGTCATGCCATGACCTCACACAACAACCTGACATGTGGCGTTGTTTTAATGCTTTATTAACAGTTTGAGTTCAGGATTATTTCGATCGCACTATTTTTATCTCGGGTAGAAAAGCCGTTGAGACAGCTTTCATACCATCATGACACAAAACTATCTGAGGCGCAGTCGCAGCTCTTTTAAAACCCTTACAGTCGAGCATGTTGGGACACTCTTGATGCTTAGATATTTTTTTTTTTGGAAAGTTCTTTTAACCTCCCACAACTGCCCAGGACTTTTGACACTCGTGGAAACTGTCACATCTGACTGACCGTCATGTTTATGTCTGTGGGAACTGTTAAATAGACCAATGGCTGAGTTTAAATGTGAGGTTCATTAAGATTTTAAGAGCAGTCTCTAAGCTAAGCTTTGACATCATGGAATAAATATAGAATATATAACATTCCACCCTTTTTCTGTGACAATTTCCTGAATTTGGTCATCAAAGTTTCCCTCTCTTTGTTCAATATGTTCTTCATCGAAGCAGTTCATTCTTTTATTTTCATTGTGTCCCTCTTGGCAATTCAGAAAGCAACATTATATATATTTGTAAGTGACTTGTGTCCAAAAATTCACATGTAATTTCAATACTTTACAAAAAATAACACCCATATCATTTTTTGACACTGCCTTGCCGGTACCTGATATTTGATAATAATAAAAAGCAACATCTGATTTAATTGGTCTAATCTGATCACACACACTGACCCGACTGCATAGTTCTTTTAAACGTTCATTTGGAAGACGAGTCACATTATTTCCATCGCATGGAGTCTGGATCACCGCCACATAGACAGCGTCTGATCCTGAACCTGTGAATCCCTCAGTAGGAATTATGAGACACACGGATCTCAACAGGTATTCTTTTGTCACTTGATAGATTCTTCTTATCGAAAGTCTTAAATTCATCCTCTTTGCTCAGGGTTTGCTCGTGTGTGTGTGTGTCTGTGTGTGTGTGTGTGTGTGTGTGTGTGTGTGTGTGTGTGTGTGTGTGTGTGTGAGAGATTCTGAACATGATCACAACTAGAATGGTGTGCTGTTTCTGTTCTAAATTATATTTTTAAAGCTTTTTGTTTTCGATATTTGTCTTGTATTTATGCTTTCTGTCGTGGCTTGTGATAACGTCAACTTTCGAAGGGTTGGTAAACCAAAGACCGACGGGAACTGCAGTTAATCAGAATAACTGTAGAGAGATGAAGAGAACCATTTGCCTCTCAGTTTGTTTTTATTTTAGACCGGCTGTAGATGATTCCTCTTAATAACTCATTGACCCACTTCTCATTAACATAACCACCCTCCGGTCTCACGTCTTGTCTTCGGGTCCCAGAGAGTGACCGTGGAGTTGGATGTTTCCTCTTGAGGGTTTAATGCCGATTTTACAGCTGGTTTAGTTGATTGTCCACTAACGCACACCCAGTGCATTTAAATCTACTGTATGTCACGGTGACATTTAACTCCTACATAATGATTATACTGAGAAACGTCTCGCATTACACAGTCGAAACTACAAACAGATATGCTTTGTATTAAGTAAGGATAGAATGGGAACGTGGACACCAAAATGAATCTGGGATGCCTCACTGTCAGAATTCTTATTTTTAAAGCCATCTCTCATCTAGTTAGACAACATTTACGACCATAATGGTGACCCGGAGAAGCACAGGTCACTCCTCCGTGCACAATAAAGACAAAGCAGTGACTTCATGTGTAGGAAAGGTCCCCGGTACCTCGATGGTCCTGGGGGTCCATAGTGTGTAGTCTGCCGTGTTTCTTCACGTCTTTATAGCGTCTGATCCCGGCATCGTGGAAACATCTGTTGTTCGTCGTCGGCTGCAAAGTACAGCAGAGATCTGTAGTGCTACGATCTAAAGTGGTGTCTTTTAAACACGTAGCAACAATATTTAGAAGTTTAATTTCTTCTGATATGATGTGAATGCGGCATTAGGCTGGTGAACTGCACAGAGAGAGGTTTTATCGTACAGATGTCTGATGAGCTTGAATTCTAAGCGCCGCAAACAACGGAAATAAAAGAGAAAGCCGTGTCGCTGGGACTGATTTTGATCTGTGGAGACAGTGAACCAAATCTGGTCTCCAGTGCCTTGTGAAAAAAAGAGACGCCCAGAAGAGTCCGTGTGAAGGAGCGAAGTTGGCAGGCGGTGTTTACAGGTTGTGGCTGTATTTATCACGTTTACTATAATCATATCCTGAGGCAGAATTACATTTTTTTTGTTTGCTTGCAATCATGAAGAAAAGTCTCATAGTTGTTTAAAATCATATCATTCATATGTTAACTGATTGATTGCTATGCATTTACTGCTCGGATGAGAACACAACTTGTCCTTTGACTCTGATGAAATTAAGGCCTCTACAGATATATCTATATGCTATCTATATTTTCAAATTATCAAGCAAATCCCACGATGTTTATTTTCTAAGTGGACATGCATTATTTGAGGTTTAACCCCCTTAAAGCATAGGCATGTTGTGAATAGGTTTGCTGTGTTTCTGTTGTTTTGGACCTTTCATCTGTCTTTGTACTGGATGTGAATGTTTTGGAGATTTGGGTTTGACCCTTGACCTGCTGTCCATGTCACTCACTGTTCCTCCGTTGGGTGCGACTTAAATGCAGCACCTTCACAACCTTTAACACTTCCTGCCCCACATTATTTTTGATAGCATTCTAATTTGTCATACATTCATATCAGATTTGATGCATCTGTCTTCATGGGGTTTTTTCTGTAGCGTGACCTTTTTTTGAGGAAATTTCTGAAATCTGAAAATAGACTGGACTGTTTTACAAAATAGCTTAAAACTATTGATGTGGGAGGAGTTATCTACTGTAGCTGGAACTTGTGAATTCAGAGCACCCCTTTAAAATTCAATAAATTTGATTTGATAGACTGTTTTGTTTTCCTTGTCTTGTCATCTGTTTTTGCACACCACCAACATCTATTTTTATTCTTGTTTTAAAGCCACTGAAACTCACTTGAATCACTTTCATTTGGCCTTTGACATTGTGTTCATCTTAGCCCATTTCTTTTGTTGTGAGGGGGGGATCATTTGTCTCATCTGCTCCATTTCATTTCACACGGAAGCTGGCGCTATCAGTTACAGTAAACTTAAAGCGCCTGTTATCCATATTCTTTATATCAGATGACAATGTGAAAGGGGTTTGCTGCTATTGATGAACTTACAGAGAATCACCGCCTGAATCCGCTGCTCCACTTAATGTGGAGCAGCTCATTGTGTAGCCGGTAAGACAATATACAATGTATGTGGTGTTACAAGGTGTCAGGATGAGGGAGAATGAAATCCAGATGGCCATCATGAAGGAATTTGAGGACAATTTGCAGCAAGTAACTTTCAGAGAACGACGACAGACCACAGTCATCATTTGTGTCTGCTTAAATAAAGATTATCGACATTTTCTTCTTGCATGCTTTTGTACTTCCTCCTCTTTTTTTTTTTTAATACCGTGTGTTCGATGTCTATGCCTGGTCGTGGTGCCTTCGCTGCCTCGTTGAGCTGTAATGTGAAGTCCCGGCCACCCAGAGGCACTGCCGGCTCAACATGACGTCGGAGGCTGAAGGGAGCAGTGAACGACGGTGGAGTGAAGGTCGCTCCTGCTTCTCTGATTTGTTTATCTGACACTGTCTGATCATGCTTAAATCTGTGGGTAGAATGATGCGGTTACAATCACTTTCAAAGCACCATATTTTTTTTAAATGTTACACATGAAAAGCAACCTAAAAATAATAACTTACTTTAGTAGAAGCAAATACATCAGATGGTTTAGACGCCAGGCATAATATGATCTCCTAATGAGCCGCTTTAAAAATCTCTTTACAGGTTGCTGATGAGGATTGTTTTAATGTTTAAGGTCATCTTCAGTACGCACTGTATGTTACTGGTGTATACATTCATCGATATTCTTTTTAAACTGCATGCAACATTAAAAGGAACCAAAAGGAAGGAGTGCTTAATTGTGGGAAATTACCTATTGTCAGGTATTTGGGTGAAATGTGCAGTGCTCTGCAAATTGCATGAAAATGGACATTTCACTTGACAATTTGACAACACGTGTAAAGAAAGGCACAATAAAGACATTTACAATATTTAAGATAAGAATCATCCAGAGGGTCTTCAGATCTTTAGGTGGTCTTCAGATTTTAAAATTTAAAATCTTTGAGGTGCAGTAAAATGAAAGCCTTAATTTGTCTTTAATCTAAACGTGAATACATTTTTAGAGTAAATAAAATGTTTTCTCCCTTGTTACCAATGTGATTTTCTTGTTTAAGTCAGTTTCATGATACAATTGTATGCCTTGAAATTGACCCGTAGGAAACTCGACTCTCTCTATCTAGCAACCGCCTTACCAGCAGCAAAGAGACAAAAACGTTTAAATATTCCTGGCTCCTCCCCCCCCCATTTGATCTTTTCCAGCCCCCTTTATGTCCAAAAATACAGAGGCAAACCTGTTGCTCCCAGGCCGAGGAGACACAGATAGCTTAGACAACACACTGGGCCGGGGCAGCAGGGGGAAAGCATCCACGAAACAAATAGTAGCTGCACCACCACCAGTCGTCTGACACTTCAACTGGACCCCTCTGAAAGGTTAGTTTGACCATTCCTCTGCTCCTGCATGCACTGAGAACCTGATCTGCCCGTGCAGTACGTAATCTCATTTCCCAAAATGACATTGTGCGTGAGTTTTCCACGACTTATAAATAACAACCGCTCTTGCTTTGACCAGATGAGAGGAGAGAGAGAATACGCACATTGAGAGAAGTCCTTCGTGGAGCTTGATGGGACTTTAATGAGTTGCCGCCTCGGGATCTTCCTGCACCTCCAACTTAACTGAAGGACTGGCATGGAACACGGCCGATATCTTTGAAGCAAGGAATTGGTAGAAGTTTAAAAAAAGTATTTGATCAATTTCATTTTGAGGACGTGAATCGGAGAACGAACTGAAAAAAGGACTATTGAGACTGAAGGTTTGGTTTCTGATTGATCTTTGAACCAACCACCCCATTACTCATCTGACTTGAATCTCAGGGGTGGTGAGGGTCACTACAAGAGCCATGGAAGCCACACAGGGTGTTCAGGAGGTAATGGTAAGCGAGGCCCTGGTGCAGTTCAGGGCCACTTTGCAAGCAGCCGTAAGGGAGGTGCACGTGGACGTAAGCGCCTTCAAGCAGCGCACAGAGCAGAGGATCGAGGAGATGTGCATTTCCAACGGACCCTTGGCCGAGGCGGTGACCAGGCTGCAGGAGGAGAACCTGCAGCTCAGGTCAAAGCTGGAGGCCCTCAGCCGCCTGGTGGAGGGTCTCTCCGGGCTAAAGATCGAGAGGGGTCCTGCCGAAGTGAAGGGGAAGAACGTGGAGGATAGTATGGAGAACGGGCAACCAGGAGGACGGCAGAGAGGGCTGGTTTACTCTGGAAGATCAGAGAATATCCAGTCACGTCAGTCCACTTCCACATACTCTGAAACATCAGGGTCAAGTGGAGGATCAAGCCATGCTGCTGCTACTGCTGCTGCTGCTGCACCCAGCAACACCCCAGCCCCTCATCCATGGAGAGCAAAGAGACATGCTGAAATCAATGTGAGTACTCTACAGATAATACAATTCACAGAATAAAGACTGTTACGACAAAGAGAGGAATGAAGATTGGGTGATCAAGAGGTGTAAGGTGTAGATGAACCTGGTCCCCAAGAAATGATGCACCTGTGAGGGACTTGGGTAGACCTCTCTCTAACTTCCACCTTGGATTGGGTGATGCTCTACTAAATTAACAAGTGAATAAATAAGATATTCATGCAGTAATTATGCACGCGACTTCTTAGTACAGTGCACAACTTTACTTGAAAAGGCACAAAAGTAATCACTTATAAGAATCTAGATCACCAATTTAATTAGACACTAGACCATGGCGGTCTGTTTTCAATAACTTTACATTCGGCCGCATTAAAGTTTACTTCTTCTTTTTTTTTTTACACGCAGTTCTAAAGTCTGTCTGAAAACAACCCCATTTTACTGTACCGATTCTATAGCAGCCTACAATGCCAACGAGCCTTGGCAGCTCTGTAACACGAAACTGTCCGACCTCCCGTCCCAGGTTAATTGCGCTCGTCAAAACTCTCACTTCTCAAAATTTTGCTATTGTCCGGCATGAGTCTTCAAAATGTCATAAAAGATCACCAACCCAAAGAATATGGCTGTAAGCAACTATATCCTTTATAGTGAAATGAAAACTGCTGTTTCCCAAAAATAATCCATATGTTCAAACCTACGAGCTTTCCTAATTCATGAAAAACCTATATTAACTGTATTATATTTATTATATTATAATAAATATATAATATATATTTAACCTCTGACTTCAGTTTCACACATTTATTAGCAGCTGTGGTAACAGCACTGCTGCAAAGGCTCTGCACCACTTCCTATATCAAATAATAATACAATATCAAGCATTATATACCTTGAATATTCAAATTATCACCATTACGGTGGTTATTTCTTTACATTGGCCCAAACAACAACCCCACCAGCACAAGCATTGCTTGCACCCTTCCACCTTTCCTACCCCCCCCAACTCTTGTGCTCATGTCCTGCTTTTACAACAGCAGGTCCTCCAAAGGGCACATGTATTTTGGGGTCTTTGATTTGGGACTGAGCTTCAGCACTGGAGCCGTTATCTGCTCAGGCAAAGAAGTCCTGAAAATTTTGGAAATAAAGTCAGATCCACAGTCGACATAGAGCATTACCCGACAAACATACTATACTACATGCCTGTACAACAGTGCCTGTAGTACACATATTGTGTTGTGCCGTAACTCCTGTGCTCACTCACACATAAGATAGGTATATAATAAATCACTCTCCCCTAATCGCTCCGGAATCTTGCTTGCCATCAAATCCAAGTCTCAAATCTCCGAATGGAAAGTTGACTTGCGTCTACGTCCCCGTCAATAACACCCTGAGATGGACAAACAGCTGTCCTGTCAAAACGCACACCCTGCCAACATTCCTCTCCGCTGAAATCACCGGGTCTTCTCCAACCCGTCAACCCTCCCTCTGACGTACCACAGTCAATCCCCCCCCCCCCAGTACCAAGATAGCCCTCTGATTCATCACCTAATACTCTGCTTCATCATTTTCACATTCAACATCATCTTCCTTTAATATTTTTTAATATTTGGTCTGGTCTCATGTTGTCACCAAGCTGAAGCCAATGGCAAGATGTACCACCAATGACCAATAGTTGCCAGCTCCCTAAAATCTCTGTTATTATATAAAGTTGTTGTATAAGATAGATAGATAGATGTATACTTTATTCATCCCCAAGGGGACATTTGTTATAAACCTGTGTTCAAAGTATAAGTCCAATATACACTCTTCTTTAAACTCCGTTTTTGGTCTCCACCAACTCCTGAGAAACACCTGGCTCTGTAGCTGCTCAATACTCCACTATGTTGTTCAACTGCTCGTTGTTATCTTTGTCTGTCTGCCATTTGGTGCTGGACTGGTAGAGTAGAGTGAGTTTTAAGGTCAGGTGTTTTATATAGTCCGAGGAGAACCGTGAGACTGAATCAAACAGTAAAGCTGTGCACCGTAAAGCGAAAACGGTGAACCGAAAGGTGCTAAAACGCTCCGTAGATTTGAGGGGAACAGCAGCAACGTCTCTCACATACAAGTGATCCTTTAGTCCATTGTTAATATCATTATTAGAGGTACCAGTATCCAAATGCAGTCTTAGGACATGGAATTAATTTAATGGGAATTTTAGATTTGAAAAATAAAAAGTGGTCAAATGTATGAAATGTGCAGGTGGAAAGGTGAAACGGGTTATGTTTCATTTCACTGTGTCTTCCTGGTCATTTATCAACGGTGATTAAAAAAAAAGACAAAACAAAAACATATTTAATTTTTTATACTATATTGATCCCTTTAAGGGATCTGCATTTGACCCATCCCTGTATATAGGGAGCAGTGGGCTGCCAATGACAGGCACCCAGGGAGCCTGGGGTTCAGTGTATTGCTCAGGTACACTACGACACGTCCCAGTTGAGGATCAAACTGTTGACCTTCCAGCTCCCAGACAACCCTCTTAACACAGTGAGCCACGGTCGTCCCGTATCTTAGTGTGTTTGTCGGTTGCCTACAAAGGAATGTCTGCATGTTTCTAAGAAGGAGGCAAAGTGATACGGAGGTAAACCCAGCCGGAGGTAAACCCAGCCAGAGGTTGAAAGGATTTATCGGGTCAGACAGAGTCACACTTATCCTACGGAGCTATTGTGAAGCCCAGGGATCACTGGAGTGCTAATCCTCCTCTTGACGAGCAGTTGACGGGCTAGCTGAAACGGCTCTATTGCGTGTCTCTGGAAAGCAAAATGCAGAGGGGTTGGGGAAGGGGCAAATACAGGCCAAGCTTTAGGCTGATACACTTGAACAACTCCCCGATTTCCAAAGCATCCATTTGGGGCTATATTGGGATGTAAGAAGAGTGGAGCAGAAACTCTCGCAAAAGGACTGATTGCAAAATCTAAAATAGCGTCTCAGTGGGAACATGGGTTTGTTCACCTCAGCTGTCATTTAAGGAGAAGCTTTCAGCTGTTAACAGCTGAAGATCCCACGTTAGATTTAGAGAAGTGAGCACACACGCACACACACACACACACACTGACAGATTTATCACAGAGGATAAAGGCCTTAAAATTAATTTTAGCTCCACAGCAGTCTGACAGACAAAAAGAACCATCTTTGTTTGTTTGCTGTGAGCAATGCGATGAGTGATGTTGCTACGACAAATATATAAATAGACAAAGGCGCAGTTAGTGTCGTGTCTTGCATACCTCATCCTGAGATAATGGCTGGCAAAGGAAATAGGATTCCTTGTACAATTCATACCAGTCGTTTTAAAACGAATAAACCAGGTTTTTGGGTAGATTATTAGCCCCTATCCCCTCCCACTTGCATCAGCCACCGGCATATTATTTAACTGTCATGACCAAGTAAATAAATAATAGAATTGCATGTTTTGTACGTCTTGTCTTTACCGATCAGGGCACTGATGCAAAAGGAGAGACACATTTTGCCACAACTGCACAAGAGGATGGGAACCCAGGTAGGTGGATGACCTGAGAAGTTCCACACATTTAACCCCACAAGCTGACAAGCCTCACCTTTGGTTGTGTTTGTTTGTGTCTCCTCAGAAATCTCCCAGCAGCCTCTCACAGTCATCACAAAACTAAGCACAGAGACCTCTGCTGTCACTAACTCTTCTAAATATACCTTGGAAACCCTCAACATGTCTGGTCAGTTGATTCCTTTACGTGTTTTACAAGTTCATTTTATGTTTTTTTGTTTTTTGTGCTAGATGAGTTTAAGGGTGCTTTTGACACCTGAGCTTTTTGTTCCATTTTTAACTGATTGGTTTGGGGTTGTGTGAAAGCTCTGGCTTCCAAGTTTACTGGAGTTCAGTTCACTTAAGTTAAGAACGCAATGCGTTGTGGGTTAAAGGTGAGTGCACACTTTGTCACGCACGGGATCAACATCGAGTCAGGCAGCGAGAGAAATGGTGTGAGAAATGTCATGGACGGCCGTGGTCAAATGAGGAGGTGAAAGCCCTCAACGATAACACCGTGCTGCTGGTGGTCACGCACAAAAAACACGGAAGTGTTTACGTTATTTAGCAGAATGAAGCTCCCTTATTTCTGGGAAGTTTCAGTCTGATATTTCTATTCAACAGACAAAGTAGAGTGTGAAAGCTCACCGAACCAAATGAAAAGTTCACTGCAACTTCACTCCTGAATCGCACGGAGCCTTAAAGCTCCACATGGGGACACTGTTGCAGCAACAGATGAAAGGATAAAACATTATGTCCAGAAAGATGTTCCTGTGTCATGAAATTAAGATCAGACTGGAAAAATTCAAGCTTTCAGTTTTTTTCTCCAGAATGATTCAAGTCTTTTGATACAATATCAAAAATACAACTTTAAAATGATAACCTCTAATTTATCACGCGGTTACATTATTGCTGTGTGTTGCTATGTAATTGCAAACAATTACAAATGTTCATTCATACACGCTGACATTGTTTGTACCTGCAATGATTTCTTTATATAGAAATCTAGTGCCATCTCTGTCTTTGATCGTTACTATCAGTTTGTTTGTTTGTCAGCAATATTAAAGATAAACTACTGGCCTGATTTTCATCAAACTTAGTGGGAAGTTGTAGCACGGGCCAAGGAAGAACCCATTCAATGTTGGTGCAGATCCAAATACCGAGGTGGATACACCAATGATTTTTTTTTTCACTTTTGTGAACACTGCGAGATGGGCCATGGACTTGGTGGAGGTCTGCGCTCTTCGAGTGCTCTTCTGTTTTAAGAATGCGATTTATTGAATGACTGTATTCAATTGATCTTCTTTTCCTTACAGATCAAGAAGAATCAGGTCTTCTGACCAAACCTCATCGTCCCGTCTCTACAATGCTGAAACCCAGCTCTGACGCTCCAGCTGTCCCACAGTCTCCTGCCTCAGCGCCCAAAGAAACTCCAGTAAAACCAGTAGAGTCTCCTGCTAAATGTGGTGAGAGAGAAATCTCTTTCTGTTTCTGTCACAATCTGCTCTGCCAGTGTAACCAAACCCCATTACTTAAAATCTCAACTATTCAGGTTCTCTCTTTTTCAGACGCTGATGAACCGAGGCCCCATCTTCCCGTCACTGCAATGACAACCAAACCAGAGGGTCTGGTTGCCACCAAACCTGCCCAGTCTCCAGCATTGGCGCCTAAAGCGGCTGCTCATTCTACAGCAGAGGCTCCATCAGGTGAAGCGGGGGAATATTCTTTTATAAGAGGCCAGCGAGTAGGTCTTTTGTTTAATGTCACTACAGACTATTGGGATGCATTCATACAATTTGATCCTCGAAAGTATTAGGCCTTATAACTGTCTGCACATTAGTAAATGATAGACATGTCTGACAACAGTGACATAAGTACTACCACCCAACTAGTAACACCCTTTAACTACTGTACTCAGAACACCATTGCAACCTCTTTGTTAGCGGTAGAATGTATCTATGGACATTTACTCAAGTATTGTTCATACTTGTGCTTTACTTGAGTATTTCCATTTTCTGCTACTTTATATTTCTACTCATGTCTCAGGGCACAAACATGCAAAAAGCTTCACCATCTTTTGTACATAGGAGCAAAACATAGACTCTGTGATGCTTTTGCCTCTTTTTGTTGCTGTTTTGTGTCTCTTTGTGGTGTTTTTGTGTCTTTGTGGTGTTTTTGTGTCTCTTTGTGGTCGTTTTGTGTCTCTTTGTAGTGTCTTTGGGTCTCTTTCTAGTCCTTTTATGTTTCTTGTGGTAATCTTGCATTTCTTCCTGATTGGTATGCGTCTCTTCGAGTGACATTTTGCTGTTACACTTCCCAGTAGGCCTGTTCAGTAAACCATCCACTACATTTTAGAGGGAAATATTATACTTTTTACTCCACTACATTTATTTGACATGGATAGTTAATATACACTCAAAGAAATGCTATGCTTATAACAAATGATGCAGTACTATACTAGTAATTCACCCAGGGGTACGCAACGTCTGGGAAATTGGCTCCACATTGACAAACTATAACATTAAAATACTCTACACTAGAATTACTGTATATTCTATAATAATATAGAGTAACATTTTGAAAGGAGCCTGCATAATGAGCCCTTTTACTATTGATACTATACATTAAGTATATTTTGCTGAAAATAAAAATTTAAATTTTTTTAATTTTCATAGGGTATTTTTTTCTGCACGTTTGTATTTTTACTCCAGTTACTCCCTTTTCCTTAACACTTATTATTATATTCCATTTTCACTTGTGCAGGTACGTTTGGAACAAAGGAGCTAAGCTCACCATTTAGACGTGGTGAGTAGTACAATGCTACAATATTGGGTTTTTTTTCTGCTCAGATATCTTAAAATCAAAGCAAGACTTAACGATTTTTGGGAATTGGATATTCGTGTGCTTTCTCTCTTTAGACGTCACTGAAACCAAGCCACACTTGCCTCCTTTGGCTATGAGCAAACCCAACACGGAGTCTTCATTGTCTGCTAGAACAGGACCGTCCCCGAGTCTCTCAGCATCACAGGACACCGTAGTAAAATCTGGGGAGTATCCCTTTAAGAGAGGTGAGTTCAACCAAGGATACAAGGATCTGTCTCTAAAATAAAAGTCACAGCTTGTTTTCAGTTTCCATATTTTTTAAAGATTTCTTTCTCCACTTTTACCCTTGTTGTTTTTGTCTCACCATATCTATTCAGCACCTATTCTCAAGACACCCAGTCCCAGTCTGAAGAGAAGTGTGAGCTTTCCTCAGCCTGCAGGTAAAATACAGTAAACAGTACTGTTTATAACAGTATGTGCAAGTATTACAATCTATTAGTTGTAGTTTTTTTATTGTTTGGGGTTGTGTGTTGTTTCTTTCTCTTTCTAATCTATCTCATGCCATCTCTCTTGTTCACTATGACTTCCTGTTTTTGCAGAAAAATTGCTGCCCTCCAAATCAATCATAAAATCTGGTTTCTCACCAAATTTGGACAAGTAAGTCACGACCATGAATCGTGTTTTGTAACATGAAACAAACTTACTGTTGACTGTTGTTTGATGCCTTTTGGCAGTTTCAGTCGAAATGTAATTGTGTCTGTTGTCCACTGTTTCTCCAAAGGAAGGCGAACAAGATAGGGGGAGTCGAGTTCAAGCAGGATGTGATGAAATCCCAAACGCTTCCACGCTCAGGGGGGCTCAATGGGGCTCAGGCCAAGAGGGCGCTCTTTGAGAGGATGAACTCAGAGCCTATAAAGTAATTTAAAATACTTTCCATATCGTGCTAATTCATAATAGTCAATGACATGTTGTCATATTTGCATTTCTGTTGAGTAGACCAAAGGATTCCAAACCTAAACTGAAGCGCTCTCAGAGTTTTGGAGCGTCCAGCGCCAGTGGTATAAAACAGATTCTCCTGGAGTGGTGCCGCTCAAAAACCATTGGCTATCAGGTATGACTCTAAATAAAGGTGCTAAACACTATATTCAGAGCATTGATATAGCAGCAAACTTATATTTGCTATGTAAAGATCTTCAATTGCATGACAACTTTGGCAATAGCTAGAATAGGAATGTCAAAATAAGAGAAAATGGGAAAAAGCGCAAAAAGATGATGAATTAGCTTAAAGACGCTTCCCCCTTATCTCACACTGGACTGATATTATGACAAGAAATACAATTTAAGTGTGACTCAAGAACTGAATGAAAATAAACTACATGAAGTATTTAGTGTGATGACGTTACTGTCTTTCTTTCAGAACATAGATATCCAGAACTTCTCGTCCAGCTGGAGTAACGGGATGGCTTTCTGTGCTCTGGTTCACTCGTTCTTCCCTCTGGACTTTGATTACAACACGCTGGAAGCTGCAAACCGCAAACAGAACCTCCAGCTGGCCTTCAGCACCGCCGAGTAAGCATGGCTAAGATTGACTGTGTGAGGCTGTGAGTGAGTGAGCGTACACTTTGATTACACTGAAGTACATCTGCACTCAAATTCGAGGTACCTGGGTGATATTTTTAACATTTTTAAAAAGTGCCACGGTTTAGTTGACTGGTAGTCTCTCAGCCAGTATTTGGACATTCAACATTGAATCAAACAGGTGCAACACTTTGTCTGTAGGACAGTACAGCACGGCCAAGATTTACATTAAAGCAAGACTTTAATTTAACTGGCCAGGCACAGAACACAGAACACATAACCAAATTGTCATTTTTACACTCCGTACAGTTGTACTGATTAAAAGAAGATATATAACGTGAGCTTTAGAGTAGCTAGTCGGGGGATTTTTTTACCTATGCACAGAGCCAGGCTAGCTGTTCCCACCTGTTTCCAGTCTCTGTGCTAAGCTAAGCTAATATAATAAACAGATGGTATCAAGTTTCTCATATTACTCTCTACTAGAAGGCAAATAAGCAACTTTCCTAAAAAAGTCGGACTTTTGTGATAAGACCATTGACTGGGGACTTTACATGGACTTGACTTGTATGAACTAAAAGACTTCTCAAACCTGAACAGAGAGTCTTGGCTGGAGCGCACATGTTTGGATGTGCTTTGAATGATCGCATCTTCATGTCAGCATTTATGTTGTCTTTAATAGATAAATCTGTTGGACTTCTTCATACTTTATATACATTTTATATACTTCTGCGTTTCAGGGAGCAGGCTGACTGTCTCCGTCTGATAGAGGTGGAGGACATGATGGAGATGGGGGACAAGCCAGACCCTATGTGTGTGTTTACATACGTGCAGTCCCTCTACAGCCACCTGAAGCAGTTTGAGTAACTCTGTATCAGAGTAGATGACCCAGTCTAGATGTTAGTAACCACAGTGTGTCATGAACACTTTGAATAAGCTCAAAATCGGCCTCTTGCCAAGCAAAGTAATAGAGAACCACTGTTGAATCACATAAACACAGACTTTAGTGTTAGACAAATGTTTTTTCTCTGCCAAATCAGTTTTATACTGTATGTGTGCAATCACCAGTTTGCCCCATTTCCTTTAGAATTTGTGGTTGACTGACTTTGATTCTTAAAATGCAGCTTCTTATAACATGTATTGTGACATGTGTGGCTTTACAAGATGCATGTTGGTTTTTATGTAGTTCTCAAAATCAATAACAATGCTGCAGTTAAAGAAGGGAAGATTAACACTCTTTTTAAAACTAGCTTGTGATAGCTGGCAGCTGCTGTTGACCAATCAGTGTTTGGCAACATGAGCAATCTTTACAAACCAAAGAGTTATGAACCAGCGCAGAGATGCTCCAGTAACAATAAGAGTCTTGCCTGAGTCTTGCAATGTGGCGAAATAAAGCTATTTTCTAATAATTTTCATTTTTAGTGTGAAGTTTTTACATCATTGTGGCGAACTTGCAGAGCAAGACTATTAAGAGGTGGAGTGTGAGTGTAACTCTTTCAATGGACGATGCCAGAGATAGTCGTTGGCTTGACACCAACATAGATTGCAGTTCATTTTGGTAGCCCTTCCTGTGACGCTCATATTTCTTTATAAACATATAATGTGTGATATTCTGCTCATTCTGCTTAATTATAAGAACTCATTCATATTTAGAATTCTTTATAACAATAATCATAACACATTATGAAGCATTATATCATGACTTATAAGGTCACTTATCATAATACTTCTGAATATCTGTTTACACACTGACATTTGTTTTTGCAGAGATAATAGTGTCTTATAATTCCCATTGTTGTAGTACATTCTGATCATTTTTTATAAAGTATTATAATCCCTTGTAATGCATTGTAATGTGACTATAAATATATCCAAGTGCTCATTGTTTGTTTAATGTAAAGTGAACATTTATTTACAATGTTTTGTGTTCGTCTTGCATAGGTTTAATGATATATTTTCACTTTCCTTAAGCAAACAATGACAACTTGGAGCAACTTATAATCACATGAAAATGCATTTTAATAGAGATTATGAGTTTTTGGCCGTCATGTCAAATTAAACTTTTTTTAAATTTAGATTTTCCTGCAAACTGTGTCAGAAATAATACGTTAATTAAATGAAGCTCCATACTTTATAACAGTGTTTGTTGCCATCTACTGGTAGAATGCATGTAGTGCAGAAGGTTACTGATATACTATATAATGATTTTCATTATTTCTTTTACTTAACAAATCTTCATTTTAACTATGTTAATTTCCCCTCCCTGCATGTGTGTTTAGATTATGCAATAAATTATTCCATGAGAGAAATAAAATATTAGGGGGGGGAACTTTCAGTTTCAATTGTTTCAGGTATGTTACTATATCGTAATAGTGTTCACATCAGTTGTCACTTTAAACTTTTGGTTTTGACGCTCTCACAAGTCAATTTGAGATCACAACTTCTTGCATTTTTTTGGTTCGTGTTTGACATCACAATGTTTGCTTTCGTGTAAAACAAAAACCTTACATTAGACTCACAAAATGCTGTGTTAAACTGTTTAAAAGCTAAATAGGAGCAACAACAAAAAAATCTGCAGAAAAGTTTTATTATGGTGCGTTTACGGCCTCAAAGTGGTTAGAACATTTACAGAGAGCTTTTCAAAAAGGTTGCTTTAACCCACCACGTTGTTGTAAGTTATTTTAAATATGTTTAGTTAGTAAACTATTGGATTAAAGACATGCTAAATGTGCTGTAATCTTAAAAGATGTCGAGTCGTATCGTATCTACAGTGTTTTTTGCATCGCTTCCCATTGACCAGGCATCCCTTCCGGTAGATGAGGTCAACTTTTCCCTAGATCCGCCATTTCAGTCCCGGAGTTTCTTGTTGCACATTAGTTTTGAATTCATTCTTTTGTCATTTTAAACGTTTAAGCAGTCCGAGTATCAGGATTTCGTGGTGCAACAGAAGTTCCGTCTTCTTAAAATTGAAATTAGTCGTGGAAGTTTCAAAATATCGTGGTATTATAGCGTTTTTTTTCCACGGGGAAACGTTAGTCAACCAAAGTTTTTTGTATGAGTTGCGGATAGGGAGAGGCGACGAGGGGAAAAGGCCTCAAAGCCTCGGACTGGATTTCACTTCACAGCCATGGCCGGTAATTTTGATGCCGAAGACCGCTCTAGCTGGTACTGGGGGAGGCTAAGCCGCCAGGAAGCCGTTTCTCTTCTACAGGGACAGAGACATGGCGTGTTTCTGGTGAGAGACTCCATCACCAGCCCGGGTGACTACGTGCTGTCCGTCTCGGAGAACTCCAAAGTGTCCCATTATATCATCAACAGCATCAGTAACAACCGGCAATCTGGCTCAGGTAACGTTGAATTGTTCGTCACGTAGCAAGGTATATGACTGAACCCGCTACACTCGTTGAAACTGACGTTAAAATGTGTATTTTCATAGTGAATTGCTTTGATTTTAGCCCCATTTACGTTCCACTCGTCAAGCCACGCCAGACGCCCTTTATGAATTCACCGATTTAACTCGATCTTGGTAAATCTGAAGATATAAGCCTATTATCACATATGTTTTAGTATTCCCAGTGTTGTCGGAAGATACGCTCAAAATCGGCACGTATCTAATAAAACAATATTCACTGATTTGGAACAAAAAGCGAGATCTTTTATATGTGATTTAATACACTGCTCGATACCGCCCACCGGAGTGTGTTGGACCGTGTAGCCGTTGGCTAACAGGCTAGCTACAGAGGAGTCTGTCTGAAAGTGTTGCAACATTTGACTGAAATTAGACTTAAGGTTGCCTTGTTTTGGTTAATCCTCAAGTATCGGATGTAAAAGCTGAACATGAAAATATAAAGTCCATCATAACGTAACGCTAATTTTGTATACATTGTTTGGGTGACGTAAAGTTAAGTAAGTTACTTTTTAAATGGAGTTTGGTATTACTTTGCCGATTAGCTAGCTAGCTACCAACCAATCGGGCTTTATTTTTCATTGATTACTTTTTCCTGGCTGAGGATATAGTCGATATTTGGTCCTCGTGTAAGCAACAGGACGGTGGGCTGCTGCTGCAGGGTTTGAATGAAACTGGGCAGACTGGGGTGTCACAACTGGAGGATGACTGGCCAGCTTGGCGCTTCTGGAATGTCTGTGATCCTTCTTGTCCTTTCAGGGCTTCCTTATTATTGGGTCTTTTTTTCTTCTTCGTCCTCCTATAATAAAATCATCAATTGTGAGCCATTATTGGTATGAAAGGTACCCAGTATCTATTACCCAGTATCTATTTGAACTAGAGGAAAACATGGTGCCAGAGTTTAAAACAGAAACTAACAGTATGATGTGCACACAAACCTGTTTGCAGAGTTGTGCGGGCTATTGGCACTCCATTTTGTAACACATTTTGAAAGGATTGGGCAATACAATGGAGAGATAGATGTTTTTATTATCTTTGGTTGTATTAATCAATGAGCACGATTGCTTTATGGTAGTCTCTCCAAACAACACTCTTTGGTTGCACTTCTCAGTGTGTAATTAATCCAGTTATGTGAATTCAAAGTTAGAGCAAGCCTGTCAGTAAGTGTGGCCGCTGTTGATCTGCCCAAGAGCATTGGTATTTGTTTGATTGTTGATTTCTTTGTTTTTATTTTTTACTTTAACAAACTAACAATGTCACCCTTTCTCTGCCAGGTTTGGCTCCCCCTCGGTTTCGGATCGGGGATCAGGAGTTTGAGGCGCTGCCAGCCCTGCTGGAGTTTTATAAGATCCACTACCTGGACACCACCACACTCATAGAGCCCATCAACAAGGCCAAGCACACGGGATTCGTCAGCGCCTCTGCTGGCGCCCCGCTGCAGCCGGACGAGGCGGAGTTTGTCCGAGCGCTATTTGACTTCCCGGGTAACGACGAGGAGGACCTCCCCTTCCGCAGGGGGGACATCCTGCGGGTGCTGGAGAAGCCAGAGGATCAGTGGTGGAACGCAGCCAACCAGGAGGGCCGAGCCGGCATGATCCCCGTGCCCTACGTGGAGAAGTACCGGCCCTCCTCGCCCACCGCTACCGGCCTGGGTCCCCCTGTTGTGGGGAGTGGACAGGGGGGGCAAGTGGGAGGGGTGGTGGGCAGCACAGACGCAACAGGTGGCCCTCAGACCAACCCTCTGGGGGACCCCGGCCAGTACGCTCAGCCCGTGGTCAACGCCCAGCTTCCTAACCTACAGAACGGGCCCGTCTACGCCCGAGCCATTCAGAAGAGGGTGCCCAACGCCTACGACAAGACGGCACTCGCTCTGGAGGTAGCAATCCCACCCGCCATTCATGTTCTCCACGGCTGGCCTTCTATTCTGTTTTCTCCATGTGCGTCTCAGCTGTGGCAGTGTAGATTGTCCCGATTAGTTAATGGCTTACTCATGCACGTGATCGTGCACACAAAGTGTCTTCACAAATGCAAGTTGACAGCGCACACGAAGACACTGGCAGTGGAGATGGCACTATAGAGAAGGACAGACGCAGATCCTTTTTTCTTTTTTTTTTACAATGGCACCTCTTCGTGTACTCGTCTCTTTATGGCCCATTGGGTTAATGTGAGCGTTACATTGTACATTCATCACCACTGGAGCCCACTGGAACAAGCCGCCTTGTTTTAGTATTAAGGGAACAGATAAACAGTGTTTGCTCAGATTAGTATTGAAACGCAAACGATAGGGGAGGTTAATAAAGAGAGGTTGGCATAATCTGTTGAGGCCGTCCCACGGTAATCTAAACTCAAGTGTCTCCACGTCACACACACACTTTGACCGTCTCGCTATTAACAAGCTGACGGTTAATGAGCCTAACATGCTGACTTACAACTCAAAGACTCAATGTTTACAGCCTCTAAAGAAGGATTGTTATGCACGTTCTGTTCATGTTATTTAAGTCATTTCAGCTTGTGAACTTCTGCTCACACGCTAGCCAGTAGCTAGTGATGGCTCTGATGCAGGATACTTGGGTATATTGATGGTGGTTGTGTCTTCCTTCTATCAAAAGTCTCCCAACTTGTTTTCATCACAGTGATGTGTACAGTCGGTCTGTTGTAAACTCAGGAAGAGCTGCAGGAAGAGTAGTTTTACTGTTAGAGTAAATGCAATAAATCTACCACACACACGGTACCAACTTTCAACACAGCCAGCTCTTAAATTCCCGTCTGTTTATCTGAGTCTTCTCAAGAAACACGGATGCCACCATTTTGTTTGAATGAACGGTTGGAAGACTGACTGTGTGAGTGAGAGAGAGAGAGAGAGAGAGAGAGAGAGAGAGAGAGAGAGAGAGAG